GGGAGATTTTAACCTGAGAAAAAAATGCACATCCCAAATGTACATGGGACCATGGGGTGAATGCACAGGCCAGTGGAGACTATTGACTAGAGAGGTACCTCATTTAGTCCTTACATTAGGTTTATGCCTGAACCTACCACATCCCAGCCCATTCAGAGCCAGTGTTTTTTCCTGCCTTTCTAAAGCAGGAAACCAGCTCTTTCTGCCAAAATTTTGGTATATTTTTAGATTTAAGGAACAAGAAAAATTTAAATAAGAAAAAAAACCCTATATTATGTATGTATGAATGCTTTAGATGCAGTTTGACTTCCAACTGCCCAAATAATAAGAAAAAAGCCAACAAGGTAGATTACCATCATTTAGGAACTGGATAAAACATACACTAGCCACAGTCCATGTTCCTTCAAAGAGCTCAGGCCCTGTGTTATAGTAATGATCTAGAAATTAGGAAAACCTTTTGACATAGCTTTGCCATGGTCTTGCTGTGGGATTCTGGACTTGCAACTTATTCCCAGAAATAGAAATACTTTCTCAGGAGGCCAAAGACAGCAACAGAATCTCCATTAGGACAGATTGCAGCTCAGAGAGACAGAAATTTGCTCAGTTTCTCAGTAGAGAAAAAACTCTTTACCTTAATCTTGTTCTGCCCCACAGCCTGATTTATTGTCTGTTCAGAGTAGCTCTTTCCTGTCTCAGAGGAGCTCTGTGAAATTAGATTCATTAAGCCATGTTAAGTGCCATGAGATTCTCGCATGGTTAAATTTCAGAAGGGCAGAGAGCAGTGTCATCTAACAAGGGACCTCCTCTGTCCAACAAATGTGCAATACACACTTTTGTGTTATGGCAAAGACACTCTACCTCTTCTAGTATTTTTGAGATTTATCTTTTTCTCTTTTCCCAAAATATTTCCTGTGTTTTCTGGTCCCATACTCATTCAAAAAAATCCATGTAATAATCTCTGGGCCATTAGAAAGGGAAATTTTAACAAAAATATCAGAATAAATCCTACTACTAGCAAAAAAAAAAAAATTAAATCCTATGAAGGTTAAGAAAATGTTCAATGAGATTCAATATATCATAAGACAGAACAAGGTTACTGAGACATAGAGGTGTTACCTCTCTGTCCCCATTTACCAGCAGGATTCCTGAATGGCCACAAATACACTCAGAAACCAGGTTCATGTGTTTGATAGCTGTATCTAATTCATGGCTCCTCACAGGTGGTTATTACGAAGCCATTTTCAGTGTTTTAAACAAGATTGGCAATATCCCACGAGCATTTATCCTGTCCCTGCAGCTCAGAGAGGCAGAAGTGACAGATGTGGAATGGGAGAGGGACACTGGTCTTCCCTGCCACTGCCACAGCCCCTTCATTTGCAGGATTTGCTGGTGCCAGTGTGTCCCCAAGGAGGGACGTGGCTGGCACTGGACTTACTGCCTTGTTCATGTTGGACAACAAACCACCCACTATCCCAGCAGCTGAGTGAGAGCCAGGCTTGCCTGGGGAGTGGACACTTGACCACAGGATAGTGGCTGCACTAACGAGCCCAGCAGCATGAGAGCAAATAAAGGTTCCCCATCTCTCTGAATGTGAGCTCCATTGACACGCTTTGCTCACAGCAAGCTGTGCAAAGGGGCTGTTTTGGTCTGCACATGCAGAACATCCAGGCTTATCTTCAAAGGTATCTGCAAAACCCACCAGTTTTCATAGCAAAAAACCTGGCTACTATTGCTACTTAAGTGCCAACATATGGATTTCAGGCACTAATTGCATGCACCACGGCTTGATTAAATTGCTCCCTGGAGCTTTGCCAGAATAAATTATCTCACTTAGCAAAAGCTGTATCTGCACTGCAATTTTGAAGCTGTTCCACACATGCCAAGGCAGCATGGAGCTACTCTGGAGGTGTGCCTCAGGTGTTTCAATCTCAGTGCACATAACTCTGGTTTACATCCCACTGTCCTCTACTACACTGAGCAGATGTGGTATTGGATATTAGCTCCTCTCCAGAACCTGTTACCTGTGCTCCTATCCTGTTAGTCTCTTAACCAGGATAACATTTTCATGATCAAATGCTCAGATCAGCAAGAAAATGGTTGTTCTGAAATCATCTGCATCAACTAAGTGCCTGAGACCTGAGCTTTTTTGAAAAATTAGTCCTTATATCAAGACGTTACAATATTCCAGAAAATCTCCACTGGAGAATTTCAAAAAGAGTTTCCTGATCTGAATTAATAACAGAAAAAACTTCACTGAACTCCATGAGCAGTAATAGTTCTCAGGGATGATTGGGTGATCCTTTATGATTAATCAGCCTTCCTCATATATTTTTTAATTTTTAGTCCATGAAAAATCTACCATCTGGACAGCTTAGTAATGAAGAGCTTTACAGCAAACAGCTGTAAACACATGAAAATTTTCTTCTCCCCAGGGCACAGGAATCAGAATTGCAGCTGTTTGCTGGGACCCTAGGAGTGTAGTGGCCTCCAAGGATGAGAATCCCCATGAAAACTGGGAGAGTAGTTCTGTGGATGCTTCTGCTGCTTAGACTAAAAGGAAAAAAAAAAAAAAAAAAAAAAAGCACAAAGAGACAAACAAAAAAATCAAACTAGCTATAAAGCTGCTATATTTGTTAGGAGCACCTTTCTGTGAGCTGAAGGCTTGTCCACTCACTGACCAGCATTACTTGAGCTGCTGAAAATGGACTTCTCGTTTAGCCAATTTGAAGGGGGAAATGCAGAATGAAATGCGTGCATATCTTCATTATGGTTTAGCAGAAATAAAACTATTCCTGCTAGAATAAACTGAGACAAGAATAGCAATTTCAGCCTACACAGTTCTGCAGGAAATGTTCCAGAATAGCTACATGGAGTACATTCTTATTACCAAATCGGAGTGCTCTTGAGAGAGGCCATGTGAACCAAACCATGTGGATATGTGGGCATGTAATCAAAGTTACAAAGCCACAGGGACTGAACAATGCTCAAAGCATCCATTGTACCTTGGTGACAGAGCAAGCCTCTCTTCCCATCCTGTTGCTTTAAAGCAGTTCATTTCCATCACCAGATGCAAATTAAATCCCACATTTCCAGTAAAAGGCAGTTTAATGACTGTTACCATCTAGCAGGGAGGTTAAGAACACAACAGCTGCTTTCTGAGGGACACTAACTTGTTCAGCTGCAGTGCTCCCAGCCTTGTGCCTGTACTCACTGCAAAACTGCAGTGTCAGATAAAGCTCAGGATACTCCTTCCAAGCACTGTAGAAAAGGTTTTATTTTGGCTTAAACTAAAATAAACCACTAGCAATGTTTTTTCTTTGGTGAAGGCAAACTTCAACTCAACATCTACAGCTGAGATGCCAGGACACCTGATCTTTCCTGGTATTCCAGGACAGGAGGGTCAGAACCTCCTGGAATCCTCAGTTCCATGTGGCCCAGAGGCTGTGAAAGTCCCTGTAGATGTATATCTGGCCCAGACAAGATTACACCCATTTGTAAGGGCAGACTGAGCTACAGCAGGACACTGCTTCAATGTCTGCAATACAGAAAAGACAGAATCTAAATCTATAAAATCCTAAGTCATACAGGTTGCTGAAAAGCAATAAAAATCTTCTGAGTTTTTTTGTTGTTTTTTTTCTTTTTTTTTACCAGACTGTCTAACTTGCTACTGATGACTGAGCCTTCAAAACTTGCCTCTTCTACAACATTTTTTCCAAAACAGTCCTTTGACTTTGAGTTCTTACAGACAACAGTCTGTGGTTAAAGAAACATCTGGGGAAGATTAAAAAAATTAAATGATTGGGCAATTTTTAATAACTTTCCCTTGGGAATCTCAAGTACACTACTGCAACAATCTCAAGCACACTATTGCTTTTCAAATGGTTTCATCAGGCTGTACTCCAAGATTAGCTTCAAATTTAATTTACTGGTCAGAACTTCTAGTTACCAATCTTCCCTTTGTCATTTAAGAAACTATCTCAGGAAAAAAATGCCATAATCTTTGTTCATTTCTTCCCACATGTGATCAAGAGTTGCACTTCTGTGAGAGCAGCAAAGTAGATTTGGAAATATTTAAGTATTGGACATAATCACATATGGGGAAAAAAAAAAAATAAAGAGAAAAAGCAGGACTTTGAACCACATAAATCAAACCAGAAGGTTTTATTTTTAATAATTGAGATTATTAAAGATTTTATTATTTATCAAAAACTGTAGGTCAACATGACATTAGCTTATCTGGGTAGAGCATAGTGCATAGAATCACAAGGTCATGGGTTTGGTCACTATATGGGATAAAAAGTTGGATTTGATGATCCTTGATGGGTATCTTCCAATTGAGACAATTCTATGATTCTGTCATTGTGTGAATCTGTGATTCTGTGGTTCTGTGACATTGTCAAACACTTGAAGACTACTAACATGCAAAAAATGTGCCACCTCACCTGGTCTGCAGCCAGAACATCTCAGAAAAACAGTTTAAATGAGTAAAAAATAAGAGAGGTGGGAACTTATCTCAAATAAATGAGATTAAAAAGTTCTGCAAAAGGCCTGTATATTTGTGATATTTGCACAAAAAGGAAATTCATGTCTTATTGGTACATTTGGTCATCAAATACAATGATTCTTGGAGAAGATGAATCCCACTATGAACAGCAAAGGCACGCAAATCCCCAGGCCTTAGTAAGGAACACAGTCTGAAACTGAAATATATTGTCCATTTGTGTCTAATTATCTGTTGCTTAAACAGGCTCATTTTCACTAAAATAAAGGTCCTTTGCAATCCCAGGGAATTAACTGGGCATCAGAACAGGTTTTGTGCATATGCTTAGCGCAATGCTTTCCATGGAGTTTGTTATCAGCATCCTCTATCAACACCCTCAATCTGTGATCATCAGAACATCTCTCATTAAAAAACACTGCAAGTGCCTTTCCCTAAATATTTCTGTTCCACTTTATAAATACCACTCTTTAGTAATCTGTGCACCCCACTTTGTCTCTAGGTGGCAAATCTGCTCAGACTCTTCCAGATCCCCCAGATAAGCTACGCCTCCACCAGTGCCAAGCTGAGCGACAAATCCCGCTACGATTATTTCGCACGGACGGTGCCCCCGGACTTCTACCAAGCCAAAGCCATGGCTGAAATCCTGAGGTATTTCAACTGGACGTACGTGTCAACAGTGGCTTCCGAAGGAGACTACGGGGAGACCGGGATCGAGGCCTTTGAGCAGGAAGCTCGGCTGCGCAACATCTGCATCGCCACCTCCGAGAAAGTGGGGCGCTCCAACATCAGGAAGTCGTACGATGGCGTGATCAGGGAGCTGCTCCAGAAACCCAACGCCAGGGTGGTGGTGCTCTTCATGCGAGGCGACGACTCCCGGGAGCTCATTGCGGCCGCCAACCGCTTCAACGTGTCCTTCACCTGGATCGCCAGCGACGGGTGGGGGGCTCAGGAGAGCATCGTCAAGGGCAATGAGCACATAGCCTCCGGGGCCATAACCTTGGAGCTCGCTTCCCATCCGGTTAAAGAGTTTGACAAGTACTTCCAAAGTCTCAGCCCTTACAACAACAGGCGCAACCCCTGGTTCAAGGACTTCTGGGAGCAAAAATTCCAGTGTAACCTGCAGAACCGGAAACCCCATAAAAAGGCTTGTGAAAAGCACTTCACCATCAACAGTTCCAACTACGAGCAAGAATCCAAGATCATGTTTGTTGTGAATGCTGTGTATGCAATGGCTCATGCCTTGCATAAAATGCAGAGGACTCTCTGCCCAAACACCACCAAACTCTGTGATGCCATGAAGCATCTGGATGGCAGGAAGCTGTACAAAGATTATCTCCTGAAAGTAAACTTTACAGGTAATAACTCCTCTTTTGTTACCTACAGAATGTAATTAAGCACTGTAATTAAGGAAATGTTCATCAGTCAAGGTAAAACCTAGCCAAATTCCTGGTAGCAGCTATTTACACAGTTCAGACCAGGGTGGTACACAGGCAAGGTCAATCCTGTCACAAAAAGGCAGAAAGGAGAAGGAAGAGGAGATTGGTAAGAACCCCAGAAAAAACAGGTTGATGCTCCTCCTGCTTCCAGCAGAAGGAAAGGGTGAAGGTGACAACAGCTGGTCTTGGCAATGACACTCCATTCTCTAAAATTCCACACAACAACACCCATTTAATTCAAAGCCAGTTTGGGCATGTCTGAAAGCCAATGGTCCTTTCACCACCTGCTACACCAGGCAGCTTCCCACCATTCCCATGCCAAGACCTGGTATTCTCTCCCTCACTTTGCTACAAATTTACATAGTTGCTGAACCATGGCCAATGTCTGCAATAGTAAAGTAATAATTCCTGTCATAGAACCAGATGTATATAAATTATTTAAATATATGATGTAATGCCATTACCTGTGTTACAGAACTACAGGCTTAATGGCAAAGTATAAAAAAAGCTACATTAAACATGTGCAGGAGATGTGGAGGAGTGTGGTCAGTCTAGGTATGATGATATGAGCAAACTTCAGGGGGACTGGCTGCATGGCACTTGGCATCTCTGTGCTTTTGCCACCACATATGGCTGAGTTTAGCTTTTTTATTAATACTATGACATAACAATATTACACCCTACCAAAGCTAAATAGATCTATACAGAGGAAACAGGTAAAGTGTAGAACATCCTGTCTTTTTTTTGCTGCATATCTGAGTTTTTTCTGAAGCATCTAGGTTGCATTTCTGTGTATTATGAAACTGATACTCTCAACTGACTGAGTTGATAGTAAGGAACCATCATGCTGTGCTTTGAAAGAGAACTAGCTCCAAGAGGAATTAAAGGATAAACATGTGTAGGATGCGGCATGCTCAGTCCCAGGAGATTGTAATTGTAATTGTACAATGCTAATAACACTGAAAACTATGTAAAATTGTCAAATTGGAGCTTGAACTTTTCCCTTCTTTAGAGGTGTTCTCAGCATTTAATCACCTCTAAATACTACCAACCATATCTCTGGTACTTCTGTAGCTCCCAGTGGGGTGCAGCTGCTGTAGCCAAGCACTCAAGTCAGAATGAAACAAAGCTTTTGTGTTTAGACCTCTGGAAATTAAGAATAATCCTTTCTCCTTCCCCTCCTCCTGTAGCACTTACAGCATAGAAACTATTTTCTCGCTTGCCTGCACTTATCCTCAGAGATACTTGAATTTCCTTAAATTGTTGAAATCAATTGTTTTTAGGAGGACAGCACTTCATGGGAGCTGGTTCCTGGCATGCTGATCAGGAGGGAAGGCAGTGTTGTGCTTCTGTCCCTGCCAGGGAGATACTTCATGACTGTAATGACTTACCTAAATGAGTAGGCACTTCAGTATTTTAAAGGTGCAGATATTTTTAAGCACCTAAGCATTTTCCCATTCAACATCTATATATAAGGTCAAAATAACCCAAATTTTATTTGACCAAAATCTCTGGAAAGATGTTAGTTATCTAGAGCCAGAAAAATTAGTTTTAATTTTGAATTAAATATATTTTATATTTTTATGAATTGGGAGTTGAAGCTGTTCAAGATGGAAAAAGAAATTGAAGCCTGTAATTTTTTAGTTTTGAAAATAGAAAGCTCTTTTTTGAACCAAATTAATTTTATTTAAAATCAGCATAGAAATCTTTGAAACTCTGAAGGGCTTTATTTTCCATTAATTCTCATTTCCAATTTAAAACATTAAGAAACCTGTCAAGTTCTTTTCCAATGGCTTTGTTCCATATACATTTTTTTACCAGCTTACAACACGATTTGCTCCTCTCTTTATTATTAGTTCTTCCATTATAATGTGAATCCGTGTTTTAATGTAAGTTATTTTTAAGCAGGTGAGTGATTTTTATGTAGTGAGTTATTAAGCAAATCTTCCATTCCTTCTTCCTTTCAGAAGGATGTGAAAAATTAATACATATGTGTGATTTTAATACATATAAGTCTTGTCATTGATTTCTATGGGACCAAAACCTATTCTTTGCTCTTTCCTGGCTGAAGGAAACCTTTGGGTGTGTGGTTAAAGCAATATGAGGACCTTGTTGCACGGTACATTTGATCAATGACACTCTCATATTTCCACCTCTAAACCTGAGAATGTTTTCCCAGCACAGAGAGAGGGTGGCATGGAAGTTGCCAGTCCAGCAGCTGCACTGCAACCAAGTGAGGCTGTGGATTTTCTCTCTTCTTTAGCCTGGGAAGCAATCCACACCCACCACAAGGAAGCAGAAAGGTGATAACCATATTTGCAGACACACAAGCAGCTATTCAAGCAATGCCTCCTCTGCTGAAAGGCAGGGATCCACACGGATAAGCCCTGCAAGCATAGAAATCAAGCAAAGAAATGGTGGAAGAAATCAAGCAAATGGTCCTGAATGTCTCATTCCAGTTTCCTGGAACATGGTGTATTTCACACACACCAGTCTGAGTAAAACATCGAGTGCGTTTCTGTGGTTGGTGTGGGACGGAGCAATTTTAGACATTTACCCTTCAAACTCAAATTAGTCTTGATTAGCCTTTGATTACAGTTAATGGAGGGGATCAGCACTTACAGAGCGTGCTCCAGCCCATGAGAGGTATGATTTGCCCCTACATCTCTTGCTACCGACTAAATGGAGTACAGAGTGACTAAGATTTATTTTCACTTGCCATTTAGCTGAAGGCCTGAAGTGAAACTCTCAGGAGCAACAATAATGTGATTTGCAAGGAAATACTCAGGGACCAGCTAACAGGAGGGTGGTTGTAGGGGTCTGGCCAGGATTTGTGCCAGTCCTGCCACTTGTGCTGCCACTGCTGCTGACATGCTGTTCATTATTTCACTAATATCTCTGGGTTCCTAGTTAGTTCTCCTTTTTCATTAAACTGAAATAACTCTACAGAATGGCAGTGTGGGATGCAGGCAGGGTGAAATTTCACTCCTTATTGTCTGTGAAATACACCAGGCACATCAGTTTTTTGCAAGTCAGTAAGACATATATGACAAATGTCATGATATCCTGAATCTTTTCAGCAGAGGAAAAAAGAGACACCTGTGCCTAATTCCAGCTTCCAGCTGCAGGATGTGAGAATACAAAGTCCAGCCCCTAGATAAATGCACTCACTCAATTTCAGTGTTTGTATGTTTGTATGCCCTTTCAAAGAGATATAGGCTGGTTCATCTTCTTGATCTTCCCATCCTCTACATTCCCTCCTGAGGGCACAAGGGCAGCACTTGATGTTCTAAATCGTGATGGTTTTCTGCTGATAAAGATGCCTGTTCAAGAGGCTGTTAACTTGTATTACCAGAACAACAAGGAAGTGCTGAATAAAAGTATACATGTCCATGGCAGAGAGCACACAGTAAACTCAACTTCTCACCATGCCCAGCCATTGCCTGGTGAGGGACAGCATACAGAGGGGCTCCTGGGAGGGCTGAGAATCCAGGGATGAGCCCACGTATCCAGAAGCCTTGCTCCCTCACAAGGGTGGAGGGGACGGTGAAGAAAACATGTTTGCTGACTATTTTAGGTTGCTTAAGCCACCAGCACAACAGAGAAAAGCAGTGTTGTCATTGCCCACAGCACTGCTGCAAGCCTCACATTTGACAAGTGCCAGGACTGTGTGAGGGGGGTGTCCATCATTTGGGACAAAAAAGTGGCAGGGTCCTGCACAGCTGTGCCCTACATGTAGCTGCCTGGTGTAGCTGCTCCCCCAGGACATTGGACTGGAGGTGAGGAAGGGCAGCAATGACAGTGAAAGACCAGCATTAGCTCCAGGGTTGCTAATCTGGGGCAGGATAACAGCCTTGTCACCCAGGAGTGTGGGGCTGGGCTCCAGCTTTTCCCACTCCAGTTAGCTGGGCTGATGGTAGAACAGGGCTAGGCCTGTCCTCAGTCTAATGTGGGCAGAGGGGGTTTGGATTTTGGAATGTATGCATGACCATATTTTTATTACAGTTTTCTGAACCTGCACAGCTAATGGTTGGAGGAATTTGGCTAAAGTAGAAGAATTGGAAAAAAAGATAATTAAAAATTTTAGGCAATGCATATTTAAAGTACTCAGTATCTTTTCCTATCCCTTTCTCCCTCCTGAGTTACCAAAATCACTGTCATGGTGCTTTCTGTCTTGTGTTCAGAAATCCATCTCTTCTACAGCAAAGCCTGTATCATCAAAACTGCCTCATCCTGGGCAAGTCCTGGGTTAGTCCTTGGCTAACCAGAATGACTACTCCAAATGAGGAAAGGGTTGTAAGTCATGTCTGATTTGTCCCCTTTCCTCCACTGGACTTTATGACAAAAGCTCTATTCTTACCTGGTTTTATGTTTCTATGTGGTTCATTTTTTCCCTTCTCCTCCTCCTCGCTCTGCCCCAGTCAACACTGAAATAATATGAAGCAGAAGCACAAATTCACCTTCTCATTTATACTTGAACACTGGTGACTTCTGTTGTGGGAACACAATTTCACAGACCATTTCCATCGAAACTGTTCCATCCAAGTAAGAGAGAGCTTAAGCCGTGGTCTGCAACAAGCAGATGTCATCTTACCTCTGAGCACAGCAGCACTGCTTGGTCCCTGCTCTGGGATTTAGCCATAAGTATTTCCTGTCAAAAGTGCACTTCAAAACTCAATGCTCAGCCAGGCTGCATGGAGCACAGACCAAAAGAATTCTGCATGTGCTATCACGAGCAGATTACAGCTGCAGAAACCTCAAAGGCCGGCTACGAGTTTACCACGGGGAGTACCTGTGCAGGCTAAAGCCAGAGCTCAGAGCCCAGCTCTGCAGCAGATGGCCCTGCTACTCCACCATCTCACCCAAGGAGCTCCTTCTCATCTGCTCAGATCCCCCTTGCCTTCAGCACTCAGCAGTGA